GAGATCCCCCTCCTCCCCCCCCCCCCTCCCCCCCCCTGCTTATGGGCTCCTACACCATTAAACGGTGAGAGAGAGAGAGATCAAAGATCAACAATAAGGTGTTGGGCTGCATTCAGTAATCACTGAGTAAAATTCAAGAGCCTGTATTATGTAGGTGGTAAGACTAAATGATAGCACCAGCCTCTCCCAGGCTTCAGATAAATACATTGCAAGCTTTGCAGTTGATTTCAATGGGCATGGGATCAGCGCAGGTAGCCCACGTCACAGCTGCCTTCCACATAGGAATAGTACAGGGGAAGACCTCTTCCCTGCTGTTCATGCATGCCAGACTGGCCATAATTTGCCCTGTAGTGTTAAGAGTCGACTAGCTTACTGTAACAAAGCAGCAAAACTAAAGTGTCTAGACTTTGCTGATATGGGAATAATACTTGAAACTAAATTACCTAAAAGATACTGTGTATGAGTCTAGTTAAACCTAGCATCAAACAGATTATATAACTTTACTGGGAAATTTTCCTTTGTGGTTAAATCAGCTAAAAATGTATGATAAACATTTATATCCAAGAAAACAGAGCTAAAAGTGATTTTTTATTTTTATTTTATTTTTTTTAAAGCTAGGTTGAAGCATACTGTGTTTGCATGTTCCCAGCAAAGTGGCTATTTTTCTACAACCTAAGTTAAGACAACTGTATTTATAATGAATGTCTAACCAATATATGTGTACATATATACACATAAATATATTTATATACTGTACATATATCGTAGATCACCAGAGTTTAATTGACTTAGAAAGGACATTTTAGATAAAAGATATTTTCCCTAGATTTCTCTTTATACAATGAGTAGCTCAAAATTATGGCATTAAAAACTATGTTACCTTCAGATTCAAGAGTACTGAACTACAAGGAACATTTATACTGTTTTTCAGTGAAGTTTTATTGATTGTCTTCAGTACTGGAAAACTCCAGATTTCTATCAACTTCTGTATCACTGAATTCTAAAGAACAGGATATGCATAGAGATATTATTTGAAGATAAGTCTGTATCAATGGTACAGTACAGACACTTGATATTAAAAGCACAGAATTTGAAACAGAAGAGACAAGCTGAACAGTCTACTGTGTTGTATGTTAATATTCAACATTTTCAACGTGTGTATATATAGTAAAATAAAAAAGTTTGTGGCTTCAGCAGCCTGTACCATGTTGTGTTTTGTGTTCTTTAACAAAATGTCACCCACATGCAGTGTGTATGTACAGAACTATTTGCATTCATTTATAATGTAAAACCTTTAGCAAGTGGAGATTTTATGTTTCACCTAACAAGGACCATTCATGTCAGCGTGCGCTTAAAAATAAGGTTTTTACAACTTAGCCCTCTATTGAATGTTCTTGTAAAAATGAAAAGCAGTGCATTTAAACAAACAAAAAAAGCTAGTTATATTTTGAGATAATAACAGCAAATAAAGCACAAATGTACCATAGTACTTATTTTATCATCCTTAAGAACCTGGTCTGTTAATTGTCGATACAAAAATTGTTGTTTCTCATTTATCAGTAGCATCGGTGGAACTAATAAACACTAAAAGCATCAAATCTGCATGTAAAGCCAAGATAAAAGCATGCATGAGACCACAACACAGCTACAACCTATACCCCTGAGATGACCAGGTTTTAATCCAGTTTAGAAAAAGGAAGATCACTCTACATCAAGGCGTCTTGTGAAATTGGAAATGTGTTTTTGATGTTAATCAGAAATCAAGGCAGCAGGTGTAAGCTGAAATGAAGAGCAAGAATAGACAAGTGCAAGTGAACAAGCTTCCTCAGGAGTGCAGGAAGCTTAAGAAGCAATTTTTATTTTTCTTTTATTTCAGCATCTACTCCAAAAGATCTCAATGGATGTAAGATTCTGTCCTAGACATACAATGGAAGATTTACTGCTATCCTTAAAGTCCACATTCTTCATCCTTCCCATGTTTGCTTTGCACTCGTATATGGGTATCATTTCTATTGTTAACACCTAGGAAAACCATGGACAGGCTAATCAGTAGCCACTCTTGTTGGGAAAGGCTCGTGCAAAGTGATAAGTGCTGTCTGGATCCCTGAAAGTGCCAGAACTTGGGCTTCTTTTGACCTTGGTTGCCAATAAGATCCAAAGCCAGAATCATTCTGCTGAGGTCATGTTGTCCCATTCTCCAATATTTTCTCCTTGGGGGTTGTTGGAGGCAGCTCCTCTGGTGAATGTGGGAGTTGCAGTAGGGTGCAGAGAGAAGCAATCTGTGAAGTAATCTGCTGAAGCTTTAAAGTTTAGAATGAGAACTTTAAAATCATAACGCTATCTACCCAGGGGTCTATAACAGAACTGTTATATCTGATGGGGATATAAGGCCAATATGGGTGCCTGTACACATGCAGGGAGTCTGGTGCAATGTGCTGCAATTACAGTGTAACGGAGCAGACTCAATTAATCAAGTCTGATGGAACGTACTAATTAGCTCACTCCAGCCAGCCTTGTACATCTCATCTATCAGCATCCCCACTGCCATTTTGAAGCATGGGGGCGCTGATACACAAGGCGCTATGCCCCTTCCATCCCCAGAGTACAAGTAAAAATGCCCTACATGCTAAGGGTGTTCAACTGTACTGTGCTTTTATGCATGTCCTACATAATAGATTGTATATTCCCTCTTCTACCTAGTCCACCTCAGATGTGGCATGGATCAATGTGATGTAAAAGTCTTGGTCAAATGGAGATGCAGAAGGGAAGTGGGAATAACTTTTGGTCACTGTCCTTTTTGGATATTTATGAATAATACATGCACTGCTTTCCCTGAGATTGAATCTCACAACTCCATGATATTATCCTTGGTTATTCCAAGTTAACATATTTGGATCTTCTAATGCCAGAATTTAGAAATGTTACGTGTCCAGATGCTTAAGGAACAGAACAAAATCCTGGCCCCATTGGGCACAACTAGATGAGCACACACGGGCGATTTGCAGCACCATCGACTTGTCTGCAGCACTACAAAGCACACGCTCTGCACATGCAGGCAATAACCGCACTGCAAATAAGCAGTACAGTGGGGTTTTTTGATTCAAGGAGATCCCAGTGTCAAGAAAACACCTGAAAAAAGCAGGATGGCACTTGTGGCAGCAGCATGCAGCGCCCAAAATTAGAGCCTGGCTGGCCAGAGCCACACTCTGGCTGCTGGCCAGGCTCCATGCCCCTGTATTGCCACCGCTTGAGCCCCAGGAAGCCCCCAGGACTCCAGGCAAGACTGCTGGGGCCAGCCCAGGTGCTGGTCCCTGCCTCTCCTACCCTCCCAAGGACAACCTGCTGTGCACCAGAGCGTGTGTGCACAGGCATTCCCCAGGGACAAGTAGCAGTGGCACAACTATGTGCTGCTACTATTTGTTCCCAGGAAAATGCACGTGCATTTATCGGGATGTGCCCATTGGGGTGAATGGGGGCAGGATTTCACCCTTCATTCCCTTGGTTCAATCTGAATGAATCTGAAGTAATACAGCTGACATCAATCATGTTATTTCACATTAACACTCCTGAAAGCATTTAGTCTTCGTACCCATAAAAAGTTACACTAGCAACCTATGTTATTGCAATATGCTTGCTATCTAGGATTCTAGAGTGTGTATCTTCACAGCTTCTCTCTTCCATTAGATTTGTTTCAATTGGCAATAGTGATTTTTAATTGCAATCGAATCACCTTGATTAGGTTTGCAAAATCACAGGTTCCCTAGAGCAAATTAGGTATTGTATGTGTGTCATTTTAATGGACAAATTGTTAGTTGCATCACTTCCTTACATAATGTTCCTCTCTGTAGAAGTATTAATAATTTCATCATCAGTGTCCTTTTTTTACCAGGGAGAATTTCAAGGTTCCAATTATGAAATATCATTATATTGCCAGTGATCATTAGTGCTATTGTACTACAGTGCCACAGTGTTATTCTGTTGATCATGATATAGGTACATTGGAGTATTTGTACAAATGACAGAGAGAGGCAACCTTTCATCAAGGAAGTTTTCGTTAAATGACAGATTAGATCCCGAAGAAGCAGAATATGAATGGGAATGTGAAAAAGCTGACAGTCAAGCCAACTGAGTGTCACAATGCAAAGGTCCGTGTGATGGAGAGCAGAAATCAGAATAATAAAGGATGTCATGACGAAGACATGCTGACATTTTGTTAAGTGTAGCACAGGCTTTTTTAGTCAGCCTCAACTATTACTTAGCTTTTTTCTTGTCACGGAGAAAGATGAAAGTTTGGACAGTGAGAGGAGAAAAAAAAATGTTGACAGACCTAATGTGAGTCTAGATCCAATGAGAACCTCAGGTGGAATACTATTTTTTTCCACAGAACAGCATCACTCTAATAGGAGATTCACTATAATGGTTCTTGCAATGTACAAGGTGCAAGTCTTTGCAAACAATTCAGAATTTCACCTTAACCATTTGTTCCTATATTTATTGTAAGCAGGTTATATTTGTTAATTGTAGTAAATAAAGATTTATACATATGTCCCTATGGGTGCTTCTACACATTCATTAATGTGCAGTAGCTGCACATTTCATTTAGTACTTGCTCAATGAAGTACTAACTAAATGAGCAGTAACTTGCACTCCTGCATAGTAGTGCTGGTGCACTTTTTTTGTGATTCTTACTCTGCAGTAGCCTAATACCATTGCTCAGTAGTGTATTAGCACAATTTTTGCCTCGCACCCTACTATGCAGTGTTATTTGTCTACTATGCATTAAGTGCCTTATGTAGGCATACCCTATGCTTTAAGTGAGAAATGATCAGATGGAGGAGCACCACTAAAGCAATACTACTAACCTGAAGGTTTGGAGCAGCGACCATTTTTAGATTCTCATGTTGACTGCTGTCTTAAGGATGTTTCACGGTGAATGATGTATTCTGCACACCCTTACCTTAGCC